CTTCCTAAAAGAAGTGTGTTTTTGGCTTATGAACATTATTCATGAAGTCTGTTGCTAAGGAACACAATTTTTGACCTGGTAACAGAAATCATTCTGGTAATCTGACACATGACTAAGATGCTAAGACCATAGAATTGAAGGCATTCTTTTGGATTCTGTCCTTTAATAATTTTTTTTTTTTTTTTTTGCGGTACGCGGGCCTCTCACTGTTGTGGCCTCTCCTGTTGCGGAGCACAGGCTCCGGATGCGCAGGCCCAGCGGCCATGGCTCATGGGCCCAGCCGCTCCGCGGCATGTGGGATCTTCCCGGACCGGGCACGAACCCGGTCCCCTGCATCGGCAGGCGGACTCTCAACCACTGTGCCACCAGGGAAGCCCTCCTTTAATAATTTTTAAGTGGAAAACCATGAAGAGGCTTCCAGCTCAGTAGAGACATTGATTAAAACTAGGTAAAAATGGGCAGGTTTGCAGACCTTGGGTAACGCACATCAAATTCAATAGGCCAAAGGAGTGTGATTTTCATGACGGGGCTCTCACCACTCACAGGTTTTGGGCCAGTTTTCCATAGCCTCCTCTCCCAGCATCATAGTCCTGACAATACTCATCTCGTACATGGCCTCCAGAACGCCCATGGCCATACTGCCTGCCCTCCTTAAAGCCTGTGTCCCAGTCTGTGCGAATGATCCGGTCATCCAGACGCATTCCATTTATGTACCACGTGGCATTTTCTGTATCTGCTCTTGAACAGTGTCCCACAAAGCAGAACCCACATGCTGTTTTCTTCATTTTATCCAGGCCCATGACAAATTTTCTCTCTGTCATCACTTTTGCTGAAGAGTTCATAGATTTGTTCTTCAGTTGTGTATAAGAGGAAAGATTTCCAACATGCGGTGTACAGCTTTCCTTCAGTAATTAATTTTTCCTGTTCTTCACTGTCACCCCGGCAGTGCTGGTCCTGGTACTGGCTCAGCTCGACATAGGAGTCACTGCGCCTTCAGGAAGCCACCCGACATAGTGCACAATGTGGCCGAGGAGGCCACCACTGTGAGAATCTTCTCTTGTGATTTGATGACTAACTTTAGTGCTGTGCTTGGATTCCTTTTTTCTTTTTTGTGTGTGTATCCATTGTAGATTTTTTGGTTTGTAGTTACCATAAGGTTTTGATATAGCAGTCTATATTTAAACAAGATTGTTTTAAGATGCTGCTCTTTTAATTTCAAATGCATTTCCAATATCCTGCATTTGTACTCTCCTCTTCTTACGCTTGCTGGTTTTGATATCACATTTGTATGTGGATGATTCCCTACCTTTACCGGTGAGCTTTTCCATTTGTAATTTTCTTGTTTCTACTTGTGGCCTTTTCTTTTCTACCTAGAGAAGTTCCATTCGCATTTGTTGCAAAGCTAGTCTGGTGCTGAATTCTCTTAGCATTTGCTTGTCCGTAAAGCTTTTGATTTCTCTGTCGAATCTGAATGAGAGCCTTGCTGGGTAGAGTATTCTTGGTTGTAGGTTCTTCCCTTTCATCACTTTAAATATATCGTGCCACTCCCTTGTGGCCTGAAGAGTTTCTGCTGAGAAGTCAGCTGATAACCTTATGGGAGTTCCCTTGTATGTTATTTGTTGCTTTTAATACTTTTTCTTTGCCTTTAATTTTTGTCAGTTTGATTACTATGTGTCTTGGCTTGTTCTTCCTTGGGTTTATCCTGCCTGGGATTCTCTGCACTTCCTGGACTTGCATGACTGTTTCCTTCCCCATGTTAGGGAAGTTTTCAGCTATTATCTCTTCAAATATTTTTGCAGGTCGTTTCTCTCTCTCTTCTCCTTCTGGGACCCCTATAATGTGAATGTTGGGGTGTTTAATGTCCCAGAGGTCTCTCAGACTGTCTCTATTTCTTTTCATTCTTTTTTCTTTATTCTGTTCTGTGCCAGTGATTTCCACCATTCTGTCTTCCAGCTCACTTATCCGTTCTTCTGCCTCACTTATTCTGCTATTTATTCCTTCTATTGTATTTTTTATTTTAGTTATTGTCTGTTTGCTTGTTCTTTAGTTATCCTAGGCCTTTGTTAAACATTTCTTGTATCTTTTCAATATGTGCCTCCATTCTTTTTCTGAGATCTTGGATCATCTTCAGTATCATTACTCTTTTCCAGGTAGGTTGTCCATCTCCACTTTTAGTTGTTCTTGTAGGTTTTTATCTTGGTCCTTCGTCTGGAACATAATCCTCTGCTGTCTCATTTTGTCTAACTTTCTGTGATTGCAGTTTCTTTTCCGCAGGCTGCAGCACTGTGGCTCTTATTGCTTCTGCTGTCTGCCCCCTGGTGGATGAGGCTGTCTAAGAGGCTTGTGCAGGTGTCCCAGTGCAGGTCCCTCTGGTGGACAAAGACATGTCAGGGGGTGTGTTTAGCAAGCAGCTGTGTGCTCAGGAAGACTTTAAGCTGCCTGTCTGCTGATGGGCGTGGCTGCATTCCTGCCATGTTGGTTGTTTAGCATGAGGCATCCCAGCACTGGAGCCTACAGGCTGTTGGGTGGTGCCAGGTCTTGGTGAGAAAATGGTGGCCTCTGGAAGGGCTCACACCAATGAGTACTCCCCAGAACTACCACCGCCAGTGTCTTTGTCCCTGCAGTGAGCCACAGCTGCCCCCCGCCTCTGCAGGAGACCCTCCAATACTAGCAGGTAAGTCTGGCTTAGGCTTTTATGAAGCCACTGCTTTTTCCCCCGGGTCCTGGTGCACACAAGAGTGGGGTTTCTGTGCCCTCCAAGAGGGGAGTTTCTGTTTCCCCCAGTCCTGTGGAATTCCTACGGTCAAACCCTGCTGACCCTCAAAGCCAGATTCTTTGGGGCTCCTCCTTCTGTTGCCAGATGCCCAGGCTGAGGAGGTTGATGTGGGGCTCAGAACTTTCACTCCTGTGGCAGAATTTCTCTAGTAAAATTATTTTCCAGTTTGTGGGTCACCCACCCAGCAGGTGTGGAGCTTGATCTTACCGTGGCTGTGCTCCTCCTACCGTCTTGTTGTGGCTTCTTCTTTGTCTTCGGATGTAGGATAACTTTTTTGATAGGTTCCCTCATTTTTTGGTTGATGGTTGTTCTGCAGTTAGTTGTGATCTTGGTGTTTTTGTAAGAAGAGGTGAGCTCACATCCTTCTTCTCCACCATCTTGTCTCCACCTATAGATTTTCTACATAGAATTTGATAATGACTCTGTGAGTGTGTTGAACGGGCAGGAAAGAGAAAGCCTTGGGGGATGAGTTACTCAGTAACCTGAAGACTGATGTTTGGTTCAGCCTAAAATTGTGATAGAAACGCTTATTAGGTGGAACCATACTCAATTGCCATTATTGTAGGTCAAAAATAATTAAATGTAGGCAAATATGTATAGCTCAACATCATACATGCTAAGCACCCAGGAGGCAAAGATTTCACTAATTTATCTGGCTTTGGTTCCAATCAAGCAACCACTATTTATTCAATATTTATGTGCAAGAGTCTCAGTACAAAGACGAGAAAAAACAAAATCCTGCCTTCAAGAAGCTCACATTCCTAGTTGAGATAAGCCACGGATTGTTAAATGCTAATGTGAGAAATGATGCTTTCATTGGGAGAATACCTGAGCAAATGCTAAGTGAACAGGCCAGACCAAGTGTGATCATTTGGGGCTAAAATAACATGTAAAAGCTGAGACATATGAATCAAGCAAAATATGACACAATGACGGAGGAATGAAGGGCATAAAGATGGGAAACATCAAGATGTATTTCGCACATCCAATTTGAACGAGAGGAGTTCAAAAACAAGGTTAGAAAGATGAATTAAGGCAGCTTACAACAAGCTTCAGTGTCTTTTTTTTTTTTCCTGTAAGTGCTTTTTATTCCTGTGAGTGGAAATCAGCTGAATCTGTTGAATGGAATAATAAGCAGCTAGATACCAGCGCAAATGGAAAATATATACAAAAGACGTTGTAGCCAGAGTTTACCTATGCAACTGAGGCACAGAAAAGTTAAGTAACTTGCCCAAGGTCACACAACTAGTCAAGGGTAGTCTGACCTTAAGCCCAAGGCAGTCTGGCAGCAAAGTCCCACTATTAAGCACCATGATCCAAGAGATACGTATACATAGGTCCACACAAATCTTGTGTTTATTCATAGCAGCATTATTCATAATAGCCAAAAAGTAGAAACAACCCAAGTGTCCATCAACTGATGAATGGATAAACAAAATGTAATATAGCCATACAATGGAGTATTATTCAGCCATAAAAAGGAATGAGTCATGCCACTACATGGATGAACCTTGAGAACATTACACTAAGGGAAGGAAGCCAGTCACCAAAAAAGAATATATATATATATAGAGAGAGAGAGGGAGAATGATTCCATTTGTGTGACATTTCTAGAATAGGCAATTTCATAAAACAAGAAAATAGATTAGTGGTTGCCTAGGGCTGCAGGAGTAGGTAATGGGGAGTAACTGCTAATGGGAATGGAGTTGTTTTGGGTTTTTTACAGAGGATGAGGTAATGAAAATGTCCTAAATTTAGACTTTGTTTATGGTTGCATGATTATACTAAAAAAAAAAAACCCACCAAACTATAAAATTTAGATGAGTAAATTTTATGGTATGTGAATTAAATCTCAAAAAATGGCATAAACACAATTTTTAAGTGTGTAAGACGACTACAGGTTATAGTATATGCAGTGACACCCAGGAACCATGGGGAAAAGTGAAAGAGCCAGATACATAGACCTGGAGCTTGTGAACTGTCAGTGCCAGATCTGTGGATGTGACAAGTCCCATGGGAGTCCTTCCATGAGAAACAAAATATGGAAACCAGTGACAGCTTGTTCTGCTGCCAGGGAGCTGACAGTTCTGTTAGCAACTTAAATTCTACAGATTCCAGCCCTACTCCAGGTTAGCCTGCTGGCTTTCGAGCTGTTGGCCCAAACACGTTAGCATCAGCTGCTAAGGATGTACTAAATTTCTTTTGTTTTGCTTTTGTCCTGCAGTTTTTGAAGAGCCGGAAGATCCAAGCAACAGGTCGTTTTTCTCTGAAATCATCTCTTCGATTTCGGATGTGAAGTTCAGCCACAGTGGGAGGTATATCATGACCAGAGACTATCTGACGGTCAAAGTGTGGGATCTCAACATGGAAAACCGCCCCATCGAGACCTACCAGGTACAGACCACCACCCACTAATACGTAGATTGGGCACTTCTTCAAGGGTTCCAAATCAGCCCCTGCCTGCAAAGGCTTACAAAGCAGAAGGATAAAAGACATGTTGAGCCAGTTAAACATCCAGAAATAGCAGGTAGACAGCTCAGTGTAAGTCTGGATAGATCTAGCCTAGAGGAAAGGTCAAGAACCATGCCCTGAGGTCCCAGTGTTTACAGGCTGGGAAGAGGAAATGGATTTGGCAAGAGAGACTGGAGAAAGTGCCAGTGAGGTAGGACGGAAACTGAGAGGAGTCCTGGAAGCCAAGTGAATCGAGGAGGAAGGAGTCACCAACTGCCGTATGCTGTTGCTGAATCAAGGAAGGACTGAGAAATGGCCAGTTGGATTTAGTAACATGGAGATGATCAGACACATTAATGAAAGAGTTGTAGGTGAAGTGGTAGGAATGAACGTCTGATTGGAGTGGGTTCAAGAGAGACTGTAACTAGAGGATGTGGAACGTAGTGAAATTTGTTTTAATTAATTTATTTTTGGCTGCTTTGGGTCTTCGTTGCTTTCTCTACTTTCTCTAGTTGCGGTGAGCAGGGGCTACTCTTCTTTGTGGTGCACAGGCTTCTCGTTGCGGTGGCTTCTCTTGTTGCGGAGCACAGGCTCTAGGCACGCGGGCTTTAGTAGTTGTAGCACGCGGGCTCAGTAGTTGCGGCGCACGGGCTTAGTTGCTCTGTGGCATGTGGGGTCTTCCCGGACCAGGGCTCGAACCTGTGCCCCCTGCATTGGCAGGCAGATTCTTAACCACTGCACCACCAGGGAAGCCCTGTAGTGAACTTTCGAAAGAGATTTTGTTCTGAAGAGGAATAGAGAAATGGGGTAGTAGCTGGAATGGAATGCAGGATTGAGGAAGTCATCACAGCTTGTTTTATGCTGATAGGAGTAAGCCCGTAGAGAGGGTGATAATTAATTGAAGCAGTCAGCTTCTCAAGGGAATAGATTCCACTGCAGAATTGGACTTAGATGAGGTGGGCAACTCATCCGTCAAAGGAAAGAGAAAAGAGTAAGTAGCTACAGATGCAGTAGGTTTGTCAATTTTGTGATGGGAACATACAGATGGTTTCTTCTTATTGCTTCTATTTTCCAGTGAAATAAGAAGCAAGGTCATTAGCTGAGTGAGAAGGAAGAGAGTGAATTGACTAGGGCAGTATGGTAGGGTCGCTCAGGGATCCACTTGAGGTTTCTATTATTGATTTAAAGTGAGACTAATCTGTGTGATTGTGTGTGTTTTTTCCAGCCACATTCACCTGCTTGGTACAGGTAAGGAAGAGCAGAAAGTTAGATTTAACCAGTGATGGGGTTTTGCCAAGGGAGTACAATGGAAGAGGGAGAAAAGCAAGTTTGTTGAAGGTATCTATTAAGGGAGTGACTGATTGATTGGAATGATGGATGGCTGAATCTAAGGTAGGTTATAAGGGGAATGAAGAATTGATAGAATCAAGATACTAAAGGGCATGACTTAAAATGATAGGAAGTAGCAAGAGTGATACTTACTAAACACATACAGTTATGGTAATGACAAGGCTCATAATATGACCCAGAAAGCAAAGGACAAAACGCACTGAAAATGATGAGGCCAAGTCACCGAGAGTCCAGAGTATTCGAATCGTTAAGAATGATGGCAGGGATGGAAGAGAGACTGAGGCGCTAGAGTGGCTTCCAGGAATGGGGTAGAGGGGCTGAGAACTGTTGATGGCTGTAAGAAGGATGGGTGGCAGGAAGTCATGTTGGATGGCATGACTTGGAAGGAGCTGAGGACCCGAGACAGGAAGGATGATTGTCCTGAGCAGCACGGAGTCCACTCACCTTGGCACACGAGGGCAGAAGTCCAGCCGCCACGTGAGTGGCCTCAGGAGAAGCAGGAAACATTGAGAGAGGAGGTTGAGGACACTCAGGACTTTGGTGGCTGACCGTGAAGCTGTAAAAAGGTTTGGGGGCCAGAAATGAAGACCACAGATGTGGTCAAGGTAGTTTGGTTACCCCTGTGGTTCAAGTAGCATCCCCTGTGTGTTTGCGTTCTCATTGTCCCCGACATGCGGCCCTCAGGCTCCCGCTCACAGCCCTCACCTTCAGCACAGGGCTAGAGCAGACAGGAGTGTCCCCCTCCAGCTGCGCAGTCAAACCATCTGGTGTTACATCCCTTAGTACAAAAGCGATGGCGATGGGAACTAGAACCTGACAGGGGTGTGGCCTGCTGCAGAGCCGCGCTTAGAGAAAAGTAGATTAGGCTACACAGTGCGGAGAGCAATTACTACTTTTATTTTAGGGAAAGACTTCTAGAACAAAGCTAGCTAGCTGTGACATGAAGTCATCAGCATTTAAGATCATGCTTCTCAAATCATGTTTACCTAGTAGTAGATGTAGACATCTTCTTTGTAGAACACTGAGGAAGAGCTCTCATAGCCCATTGTTGAAATTAAATACTACAAAAATTATTTAACTTATTTTAGGTGACATATTTCAAAGCAATTTAGTTAAGTTTATATACCGTATCAGATGGTAATATAGTATATCAAAGATGGTAAGCAAACTGAGTGAGTCAGTGTCTGGAACACTGTTGAAAAGAATTGTAAGGACTCGTCCAGTGGGAAGGAATTCCATCATCAATTACTACTGCCTTCCCTGGGCAGGGAGACAGGTGATATACTCTTTTGTATCTTCATACATCCATCAACTGATCTCAAGCATGTTTCTGGGAATAAGAAGCTGTAGACTTAAGTATGATGAGCTATGTTCACGTTTTCCTATAGAACAGGGGTTGACAGACTGACCTGTGGAGCCACATACAGCCACACCTGATCATTTACCTATTATCTATGGCTGTTTTCATGCCACAACGGCAGAGTTGGGTCGTCCTGACAGAAACCATATGGCTCACAAAGCCTAAAATATTTACTGTGTGATCCTTTACAGGAAAAGTTTGTCAACCCCTGAAACAGAAGAACAAACCAACAGAGTTTAATCGTGCTAGGCCTCACAGTGGTCTATCAACTATACAATAGCAGGCTCCCACAAGTACATGATTTGAGAACCACTGTGTTGGGGGACTCGGCTTAGTGTCAAGGAGGCCATCCCCAAGCTCATAGGAACACAGCATAGAAACACTTTTTGCAACATGGAGAGAGAAGCATCAAATAGGACCACGAGTCTTAAGTTTTCCCTTACTCTGCTCTCTAGATGTTTGTTTCTCATGTCGGTATCTTACCTTTTTCTCTCCTCTGATGGAAAAAAGTCTATATTCTCTGCCTAAGATTTTTCTTTTTTTTTACAACAGAATATATACGCCACATACCTTCATAGTGTAATAGATCATCTTTTCCTGTAGAGGCCCTCAGTTGGAGGTAGTCAGGAACTTCCCAGAACTGCTCCATCCTGTTGGTAGGAATGTAAACAGGTACAGCCACTATGGAGAACAGTCTGAAGGTTCCTTAAAAAACTAAAAATAGAGTTACCATATGATCTGTCAATCCCACTCTCGGGAATATATCCAGAGAAAACCGTAATATGAAAAGATACATGCACCCCAATGTTCACTGCAGCACTATTTACAATAGCCAAGACATGGAAGTGACCTAAATGTCTGTCATCTGTCAATGATGAATGGATAAAGAAGATGTGATACATATACATAATGGAATATCAATACGCCTAAAAAAGAATGAAATAATGCCATTTGCAGCAACGTGGATGGACCTAGAGATTATCATACTAAGTGAAGTAAGTTAGAAAGAGAAAGACAAATACCATATGATATCGCTTATATGGGGAATCTAAAATACAACACAAATGAACTTATCTACAAAACAGAAACAGACTCCAGAGAACAGACCTGTGGTTGCTAAGGGGGAGTGGGGGAGGGATGGATTGAGAGTTTGGGATTGACATATACACACAGTACTATATATAAGATAGATAACCAGCACGGACCTACTGTATATACAGCACAGGGAACTCTACTCAGTATCATGTAATAACCTACATGGGAAAAGAATCTGAAAAAAACAATTTTATATATATATATGTGTGTATAATGGAATCACTTTGCTATACACCTGAAATTAACACAACAAACATTTTAAATCAGCTAAACTTACAAAAAAAAGATGGTGCATCAAATAAATAAAAAGTTTCAGGAAAATAATGAAAAAAAAAAAGTGCTCCATAACAGATAAGAGGAAGAAGTAGGGGGAGATAAGATTGAAAATAGGATCGATTTTGCCTGTCTTTTTCCTCCAAAAAGTAGGAGATCTGGAGTACGAGGATAATAAATTTGGCTCCCATTGCCCACTGCACTAATTCCATCTTGACATCCTTCCCCTTCAGAAGCCCCACTCCTCTTCCTCTTCTCCCTCTATTACACAGAACTTGGAAGCAAGTCAATGATAAAATCAAGAAGAGGCAAGAATCAGGCTTGCTTTCTAGAAAAGAGACAGATTCTTGAGGTCAGGGTCCTCCAACCATCAGAAGAAAAGTTCGACCCCCAATTTATGCCCTTACCTCCACCATCACTTTCTTCCAAGGAAATAGTCTGTGCTGATTTGGGAGAGGGGGAATTATAGTCAAGACCAGGGTTAGGCAAACCATGACTCAGAGGCCAATCCTGTCTGCCACCTATCTTTGTAAATAAAGTTTTATTGGAACACAACTCCCACTCATTTGTTTATTATAGCTGCTTTTGCATAGCAAGGGTAGAGTTGGGTGGTTGCTATATGGCCCACAAAGCATAATTATTTACTATCTGGGCCTTTATAGAAAAAGTTTGTCAAGACCTGGAATCAGCTCTCCCTTTGTCCCAGGACTCTCTTCTGCTTTGCTCAAGGATTCTTAATGATAACTAGAGATCTTCAACAAGCAGAAATGGCCCTACAAACAAAATCGCCTTCCAGATCAGATCTGAGCCACTTCCAATACGCACAAAAGGTGGAGGAAGGGAAGGACAATGACTTAATTTATAGCAGAGTTCCCAAGCTCAAGCCACAAGCCTCGCCCTTACATCCCATTACCTAACAAAGCCAAAAGCCCAGCTGCAGATGGATTCTCTTGTCACTATAGCATTGAAGCAGATACCCTGACAAGGCCCAGAACTGTTTGGGAACAAGAGAGTAAAGGTGGAGGAAATTAATTTGCAGACTTAGAAATCCTTCCACTGTCCAAATAACTCAGAGAGCTTTTCAAATACCCAGAACATCTAATGGAGCAAGGAATGAATCTGACCTCATTCCTCTGCCCAGTGCTAAGCACACAGCTGAGCCTCTGAGCTCAGCATCCAGCAGAGCTCTGGGGTCAAGGGAGGAGAGGGGCCTAGGCTGCAGGAAAAGGAAGAGTGAACCATCCCTGTCCATCTAAACAAAGTCAAACAGTGCTTTTCATAACGTCCCTCTGCCCTCACCCAATTTTAGCTCCCTCTTGGCCTCACCTCAGTTCCCAGCTCCTGTCTAGGACTGAGACCCCACGTCGAGGCGAGGCCAATGGGGCAGAGCCAGTGGGAGGTAGATTGCTAGAGAAGGCAAGAGTGTGTGTGTGCTCCAGAACCCAGATCCCGGGTTCACTTCCCATTCTGTCATTTCCTTTCCTGTGGGATCTCGGACAAATGGTGTCATACCCGGTAGTTCATCCTCCGTTAAAGCGAAGAGAATGACAACAACTACGTCCTAAGATGATGCTAGAGATGAGATAAGATTCTATGGATAAAGCGCCTGGCTAATAATAACAAGCTGGCGTGTTATGTATGCCTGTTATAATTACCAGTCCCTATGACAGAGCTCAGGAAGAATTCAAAATTGCACCCAGATTACTACCCTCCAAGCCCTAATCCTCAGCCTATTTGCCACCTTCACCTGAGTTGCTGAACGCAGCTGGAGAAAAACACCCAACCATGCTGACCAGATGCATTTAAAATTCACATCCAACAACTTCAAGCGGCCCTCGGTGCCTTCCAGAAACCCTGCACTGTTTCCCAACACCCCCCTCCCCTTCCTCACCCTCAGCTGATAACCTTGCTTCTTGTTTCACTGAAAAATAGAAACAGGAGAAAACTGCCGCATACTCCAGGGCTGCGCCATGCACATCACATCAGAGTCTACTGGATGAGCTCCCTTGGCATAGACATCTCCAAATTATAGATCCCAAAAGTGAACATGGCAACTCCATCTTTCCACTTGCTCAAGAGAAAGATGCAGGAGTCCTCTTTGACTCCTGTTTTTCCTCTCCACACTTCACAGTGGATCCATCCCCAAGTCCCATCAGCTCTCCTTCCAAACATGTCGAGAATCCGACCACCTCCCACCACTGCCCGCTCTGGTCCAAGCCGTCATCTATCACCCAGGTTACACCTAGCCTCCCTGCCTTTGGCCCTGCAGGCTTACACTCTTTCACGACACAGCAGGCTCAGCATCCTTTCTGTGAAGTCTGTTCACATCACTCAGAGTAAGGGGCCTACGGGAACTGGTGAGCACACGCTGAGGCCTCCACACTGCACCTTCTGGCCACCGTCTCAGGTGAACCCTTGACTACTCACCCTGTATAAAATAATACTCCCACTCCCTTTTTCCATGTTTTTTTCTCTATATCTTTATCACCATCTAAACTATCTTATATACTTACTTGGTTATACAGTCTCTTCCCCAACACTAGGAGGAAAGCACCCCAGGGGTATTCTGTTCACGGGTCTCTCTCCCAACCACATAGCAGGCATTCAATAAATATTTGTCGAATAAAAGGCTGAATGAAAAAAAAAAAAAAGAGGAAGAAGGGCTTCCCTGGTGGCGCAGTGGTTGAGAGTCCACCTGCCGATGCAGAGGACATGGGTTCGTGCCCCGGTCCGGGAAGATCCCACATGCCGCGGAGCGGCTGGGCCCGTGAGCCATGGCCACTGAGCCTGCGCGTCCGGAGCCCGTGCTCCGCAACGGGAGAGGCCACAACAGTGAGAGGCCCGCGTACCACAGGAAAAAAAAAAAAAAAAGAGGCTGAATGAGCGGTGTCCTCTAAATCAGCTTAGAAAATGGGGCTCTCCCGCTTAATGGGCCCTGCTCTATGCCACCATCTATGTAAGCAAGTTTGTTTACTCCACACCAGCCGTGTAAGCAGCTCACCAACTCATCTTAATGTGCCAAGGCCGAAAAGGGCCACACCTGGGTTCAGATCTGAGCCCATCTGATTCAATCCACATTTACACTGAAAATTAACAGCTCACATCCAAAGAGGAGCTTCACACAGAGAAATCACTTTTAAAAATAATAACACCCTCTTAATGTGTCCTCCCCCCCCCCAACCAGGTTCACGACTACCTCCGCAGCAAGCTGTGCTCCCTCTACGAAAATGACTGCATTTTTGATAAATTTGAATGTGTGTGGAATGGGTCAGACAGGTAAGAAAGGTCTGTGTGGCTGGGAACTTTCCAAAGGTGGTCCCCCTCTCCTTGCGAAGGCCCTGGGCTGTGTATCCTAAGCGGGATACAACCAAAGGGAGATCAAAATCGGCCCCGAGGCCTGGCAGAGACGCACCGTGTGGACCACTGGATGACCCTTGAGGCAGGCCTGGAAAGGAGGGAGGGATGAGTGACACCCTTGACTCCTCTTTCAGGACTGGCTCAGGTGACCACTTAACCTCAAGAAAATCCTACCTCGTACACACGAGACACTCCCAGAGCTGGGTCAACATGGCTAAAATGAAGCTCCACCAGCACATTTCCAGCATGAATAGTTCAGATGATTGCAGAGTGGGCTTTCTAGATGGAAAATTATTCCTCGAAGCTGCCAGTGTAGACCTGGCCAAAGGCCCTGGTGGTTCATTAACCGAATTCTACTCGGCCTCATTTATCACATGTCCTGAAAGTGATTTATGACTGTTTTAAGGCCTTTGATTTCAACAGTACTTCCTATTACCTCCCCATAGTTTCTTTCTGGTTTGACAAATATTCCAGGTGACCCTCTGATTTCCAGGAGAAGTAAGCACAGGCTACCAGGGGCTGTTCCTCAATGAAGGCGGCACCAGCAGTAGTGCTCGGAAGCGGGGACATTCTATCACGGCAAAGCACTCGGAGAGTCGAGCTCTTAGTGAGCGCAGGCTCTCCCTCTGTGACCCTTGTTGGGCTTTTTTTTTGTCGGTGATCCAAAATCAGCCTTCCACTTAGGCCTGGAAGGAATCACCACGTGGCAGAGGACGTGCCCAGTTGGTAGAGGGCAGAGGGCAGAGCAACTGTGACATATTAACAAAGGCCCTCGAGGGGAAAAGAAGCTAGCCCAGCCCTATTATTTTATTTATTTTCATTTACAACTGTCATTTATTCATTGTTTATTAAGAATAGGGTTTTTTAAAAATATTTGTGGTTGTTATTGTTCCAGTTTCCCTCCTATCTTAACCAAGATTCAAAAACTGTACTTACTAGGTACTTTCACACACATGATGTTTTTTAATCCCAACCACAATCCATCGAGATTGTTTTCACCATCCCCATTTTCCAGCTGAGGAAACGGAGGCTCAGCCAGATAAAGTAATCTGCCCAAGCTCATGAACTAGTAAGCAGTAGAGACAAGAGGAAGAGTTTGAATCCTAAAATCAACACGCTTTCCACCACATTACAATTTCTTTCCATAACTGAGAAAATGTTATTCTTGGTCCAGATAAGGTTGAGATTATTTTCCCAGAAAAGACTTTCTCTTACTGTTTAAAAACAAGTCGAGTCGGGCTTCCCTGGTGGCGCAGTGGTTGAGAGTCCGCCTGCCGATGCAGGGGACGCAGGTTCGTGCCCCGGTCCGGGAAGATCCCACATGCCGCGGAGCGGCTGGGCCCGTGAGCCATGGCCGCTGAGCCTGTGCATCCGGAGCCTGTGTTCCGCAACGGGAGAGGCCACAACAGTGAGAGGCCCGCGTACTGCAAAAAAACAAAAAAAACAAAAAACAGGTCGGGTCATGGTGAGGGAAGCAAAGGTCAGTGCCTGGGAAGCAGTGAGGCCAAGTGGCTGAATGCTTGTGCCCCGGAGTCAGGCAGATGTGGGCTGGAGAACTGACTTGGCTACTTATTAGATGTGTGACACTGTACAAGTCACTCGCTTTTCCTCCTGTGTAAATCCCTTACATGGGATGAAGGAAGAGTAAATGAAGTCTGGGGTAAAGCACTCAGCACCCTGCCTGATGAGGTAATAATAGCTCGCTCTGCGTTCTCCCATCCTAACCATCCAGTCAGAGCCTCACCCACAACAAGGCCATGCCCACCTCCCCAGGGGGCAGCCACAATGGGACGCTACTTGGTATCTTTCCCTCAGCCTGTCATCTTGTCCAAACTGTCACCATTAAAGAGTCAGTCCATTGCTTCTGGAAGGCTCTGGCATTCACTGCTCTCTTAATCGATTGGAGATATGCCTGAGAATGGATAACTCTTGTAGAAAGGTAGGAGCCATCTGTCAGTCCCCTCAAAGGCTTACTTCCTTATCCTACATCCTTTCAGAATTGAATTTTTGTAAACGAGTGAGACCATGATGGCATCTAATTTTTTGGAAAAGGCTGAATTTAGATCTAGTTCTTAGCAGGGGGAGGAAACATGCTGGTATGTGTGCTGTACTGCCAGCATCCCTCCTGCAGTGCTGATGCAAGAAAGCCTTAGCGGTCGGGCAACACAGAATCCCTCCTACTGTAACTGTGCTTTAAATGTACACGATACAATGACGGCTGTTCTCAGTGTTCCTAATCTCATAACTTCACTCCAGCCTCAGAATCCTGATGTGAGGGAGGTGGGCTGGGATCATTAAAACCACTGGACTCATTTATGGAGCCCAAGGACCAAAAGGAATCTATTGGTAAGTAACAAGGAGGGTTATCAACGATCCTTCACCCAGCCAAAGAGTTTGTTGCTCTTAGTGATTCCAAAGAAACTCAACAGTCACACTACAAAGCCTGTTGCAGTTTTGGGTCTCTTGTTTGTTTCTCGTGTGGTGCCATAAACTGGCCACTTTGTGGTGCTGTTTGCTCTAGAAAGCCTTTGTCTGTAGCACTCAGTCACTCCCTTTTTCCTCTCTGCCTTGCAGTGTCATCATGACGGGCTCCTACAACAACTTCTTCAGGATGTTTGACCGAAACACCAAGCGCGATGTCACCCTTGAGGCCTCGAGGGAAAACAGCAAACCCCGAGCTATCCTAAAACCGCGCAAGGTGTGCGTGGGGGGCAAGCGGAGAAAAGACGAGATCAGTGTCGACAGTCTGGACTTTAGCAAAAAGATCTTGCATACAGCTTGGCATCCTTCAGAAAATATTATAGCAGTGGCGGCTACAAATAACCTATATATATTCCAGGACAAGGTTAACTAGGAGGACAAGTTATTACTTAATAATCTCACATACTGAGTACTAGTCAAACACGTTTTTAAATGTTTCTTTGGGTGTTCATTTGATGCATCGACTCTAATTTCCCTCTGCAGGAAACAAATGGAATAGAAGTCCATGGAGTCCAACCTTCCCAAATCCCCAGTTCTAAGAAATTTTGTCAAACCCAACAGGTTCTGGGACACTTCTGTTTAGAATTGAGAGCTGCCAGCTAACAGTAATTCTTCCATAGCTGACTTGAATTTCTGATGCTTTTATTGCCCCGTTTTCTCTGGTGGGTCCAGTGTTTTGTTTCTAGGTGTCTGCTGAGATAAAATGAGGTTGTCTGTAGTATTTAAAGAGAAAAGAAAGAGATACTTTTTTTTTTAATTAAGCAACTCCATTTGATGATTGAAAAAAAATTCAACGAAAAATAAACACCGTTTACTCTACTCTTAGAGAAATTCTCCTTGTTTTGTGAAAAAATCGGAACCAGTCAGCATCTCCTGCCCCTACAGCACTTTTTTTTTTTTCCATTTTCCATTTTCTTTTTCACAATTTCATTTGAACCAGAGATTTATTTCACAAGGCTGCAAAGAGGATGCAGAATGGGGAGGGAAAAGGGCCACATCAACACTGCTATATTCTTTTCTTGTAAGCACCATAGAAACAGCCTGAGAATTTGGCTAGGAAACACCATGAATGCTTCAGGGGACATAAAGAGAACACTTCGCTTCTCAGAGTTAACTTGGCAAGGCCATGTGCGGCCAGATTCCATCTGCTGCTTTGTTACTCTTGCTTTTTGTTGTTTTAAATGGCTCCATATAATCCTCTACTTACATGTTCCTTGGCTTTTTCCCTTCAACCTTTTCCAGCTTATTTATTCCATTGACTTCTTTCTAAAGGCCGAGTCCTGGTTGTTTATTATCTGGCATTCTAAATGCAACAGTAAGTTGGAGGCCATGGCAGCACCCCTGGCTCCCCGAGAAAGTGTCTCCAAAGCAGCCCCCTCCCCTCTTCCTGGGTTTTGTAACCAAAAGTAACAATCCATCAATCTCCACTGTAGCTAGAACAAAAATGGCCAATACAAAATGCTTCTCTGTAAAGGCTCATCAAGTGCTTCTAATCCACCCTAAGCTCACCGTCTAGAAAACAGACCAGAGGGTTCTCCTCCTACAAAAATGGAATATGGGGGAATCAAGAAGCTTTGACATCAAAGTAGAGTCTGCTTGAAACTGGGGAGGCTGGTTCATCCTTCCCACCCGTTGAGGATTCAGACATATAACTTCCAGAAGGTCTCCTGTGACGCACCTCTGGGAAGGAGACTAAATGAATTCAAAAGACAGAGAAATTTGAAACGGAGGCTCAGGGAGGAGGTGGGAGGTACTCAAAGCCGGGCCTGGGCTCAGTGTCTCCATTCCTGTCACCGTGACTCATTTCCCCAGACTTGCATTTAGTGAAATGGCTTGACATGAGAATTCTCCTTTTAAAGAGAAATTTTCTTTCGCTTTGTATATTTATGAGAAGTCCCAACGTTCAAGTGTAATTTGTTTTGGAAGAGGGAAAAATGGTGAAAGAACCATCTTTCAATTCTAAGCTACTATCCATTTAATAACAGCTTTTTGGCAAGGAAATAACTACTTAAATGAACAATTTCGTAAGATGCGGCTCAATTTCAGAAACATTAAAATATGAACAAGTACATCTCAAAATTGAGGAAGCATGTGGATGAAAGCGTGCCTTTCTTCTCCGTATTTATCTTTCCTGTGATGAAAGCCCCAGTGGAAACTCTTGGGGCAGGATGCCTGGCCTGAGGGGGACAATGTTCTCAGAGGAGACCAAGAGAGCATCAGAAACTTGTCCAACTCACACAGAACTGTGGTATCAAGACAGATAGAAGGACCAGCCGGTTCCTGTCCTGAGTTGACCATCAACTTCCTCACAGCCTTTTCTCTGCTTCCCCAACACTCAGCCCTTCTGTCTGTACCAGTTGACAGGACAGATCATTGTTCCTCATACTTAAGCATCGACCCACCTCTGTACTGTTCCTCATTTCACATTTATTTAAGTCACCTTTTCTAAAAGCAAGACTTAGCCTCCTCCACACAAAGAATATTCATGAAATGTCAGTTTTAATGTTTTGTTCTAACATTAAAATGATCGCATAACCATTCATGTAACAAACACGTACCCATTCACCACCTACGGGCATTTTGTGAACCCCAGGGCGCATGCTTACCAAACTTCGGGACACTGAGCTCTGATGCCACAGAACATTTAAGCCTTTGGAGCCATCAGAGACTTGCCATGGACAGCGGTTCTTCACAGACTGGAGTCAAGAGTGTTCCCCGGAGCACATACATGAACAATTTTGGTCATGCCTTTAAGGGGTTCACAGGCCCCCCATAGCCTACCTGTGGCCTCCATCTCAAAGCTCCTACACTAATCCAGTACCCTCACCACATAGGTGTACAGTCTGAGATCTACAGCGTGGGAGGAACTTGCAAAAGACGTCAGAGCTAAGAGCAGAGGGCCGCCATCCTCCCCTTCCCCCTGAACAAAGGATGCACCAGAGCAAACATCGAAGACCCCTAAGTGCAAGCAGGAGGAGAAGGCCCTAGAGGTCAGGCCTTGGCAACAGTCCCCACCACCATCCTTCAGCCAATGACCTGCTCTGCGCCAGGTACAGAACTAGGTATTTACACTTGCCATCTCCTTCTGCCCCAGGGCTGGTGATTTTCTTGGTTGGTGGCACCTAGAAGTCAGTCCCTTTTCCAGCTGACACTCAAAGCTATGTGAAAGCTGACTTGCCACCTTTTCGATGGTTTGTTGTGCTCTCAGAATCCTGCCCTACCTTAAATTTACCCCACAAGGCCTGCTGCTTTGTACCAGCCCTCAGGTTATACTGGAGGATGTCTGTTGACTTCTGGGAAATGGGAGTTGCAGCTTCCCGGGCTTTGATTAAAATCATCCTAATGCAACAGTCCATTCCTGACATTTTAACAAGCAGTTCAAAAGCTGAACGTTGGCAGACATCCATGCTTTCACCTCCAGAGGACGAAGGTGAGCTGGAAGAAACAGAGAAGGAAGATACAAGGCAGCATGCAGCAGTGGGATGTCCAGAGGTGAAGAGGCAACAGGAACCAACATGCTTCTTAACTCTTTAATCTCTGGCTCCTGCCTTTGCTCTTGAGGGCGGGGGAGCATCTCTCAACCTCTCAGTGACCTTGTAATTAACTCAACCGTATCAACATGCATTAGGCAACCAGCATGTGGAAGGCAGAACAATTGTCAGGTGGAACAAAGATGAAGCTACGATTCTTTTAGCTCAGTGACCCGATGAAGTAAGTCAGCTGTCTCCAAGGTATTTCTTTTGAACCTCCAGGGTCCATTATAATAAAAGTTAGACCCTCTAACACCTCATCGCTGACAACGTGGGAGACCATTTCTCTTCCTTCAAACCTGCAGAGTAACTACCCAAAGCTTCCCTCCTACCCCCCCCCACCCTGGGCCCCATTCTTTTTTCAGCCCCTCTGCTGGCTGCCTCCAGGGCTCAGGAAGACCCTAGTAGGCCTAATAACAAAGTTTTGGGGGGACACTATTGTCCACAGACTGAGCGAAGGAACCATTCCTAATTTGTCCCCTTCCATCATGGCCATGTGCAGATGGCTGGTGTGTTTTAAACACTACCCCCCAAGACACAGCAAACCCCCGTTCACCCCTGGGAAGCGCTCACACTCTGGGCCTCTGTCATACCTTAACTTGCCTCTTCCCCCTGTACTTCTAGGTCAAGCCTCAGGAGCCACTTGCCGTGGGAATGACTTGCCTGGTCAATGGAAAGAACATGGAACTAGGGGACAGGAAATGTGGGTCCTGTTCCTGGCTCTGCCGCTCAGTGAGGAGCTTAGGCAAGCCGCTCAGTGCCTACATCAGTCACATCGCCTGAAAAGGGGTCAGAAAGCCATCCGCCCTCACTCATGGAATGACTGTGAGGGACACAAGAAACTCATTTACTTATAACCACTTCGATAAGCTTAAAGCATCACCAGATAACAACAGCAACAATATTCACGGAGGACATATGGGTGATTTCTCATATCTCCTTCCCTTAACCCCATGAGATACATGCCAGTGTTATTCCCATTTTGCAGATGGGAAAAGAGACTCAAGTTTTCAACATAGCCAAGAGCACATAGCCAGTAAGTGGTAGAACCAGGTCTCCAACTCAAGGTTTCAGACTCTAAAGCCAGAGTTCTTAAAATACTGCTTCTAATACATGATAGTAGCTAACATTTTTTGAGTGCTTTCTATGGGCCAGGCTTGGGTCAACAAATTCCCCACGTATTAACTCATTTACCTCCAAAACTCTAGAGGCAGATACTATTATTGTTCCCTTTTACAGATAAGGAAGCAGAGAGATGATACAACTTGACTAACTTTATACAGTTCACAAGCGACAGAGCCAGACATTTTGGTCAAAGTTCTTATCCTCTCTCCCCATCTCACATTATATATAGATGGAAGTTACCGATTAGAAAACGAGTTCCAGTAATGGTCAGCAAGTTCATCAACGTTAAACATTTGAGTGCCCGGTTTCTGTCAGGCAGCCAAGCAGCCAGGCCCTAGGCGCGGGGCTGGGGTTCCTGAGATGTGTAAGCCTCTGGTCCCCGCCCTCCAGGAGATGACAGCCATGTGTGTGGTGGACATACTTACAATACAACGTACAAAGTGCAGAAATGGTACAGAGAAGGAAATGGTTAATTAATGAGGACTGGTAAGAAAAAGTTTCTCATATAATAAGTGTGACATAAGTGAATAAGTGATATCTGAGCCGAGTGCTAAAGCAGTTTCCTCCACAAAGAATGATACGCGTTTCCAAGAGAGAGAACAACAGATGTGAGTTACCGAAGCAAGAATGGGTTTGGCAGGGAAGCGTGAAGTCAGTGTTTCTCGAATTCTATTAAAAACACATTTTCAATTTGCCAGAACTGGCCTACCCCTTCTTTCTTTCATTCATCCAATAATAAATATTTGTTAACCCCCCCATACAAGTACTGTATTTAAATGTAAAATAGAAAGAATAAAAGGAAACCAATAATTATGAGCACTTATTATGCAGCAAGTGTTGTGCTAGGCACTTTTTAAAAATCATTACAATCACCTGACAGGTAAATACATTATTCCAATTTTATAGTTGACAAACAGATTCATAAGGGTTAAGTGACACAGTCACTGTGACACAGCCATTTTATCTAGATCTGTCCTGATGCAGATCCTGTACTTCTTTCCAGGTAATGCATAGCTACCTTGTCTTATTTTTTTCCACTAGTGAGGATATTCACAAACCATCTCTCTGTGACCAAACATTGCCTGACAGCTGACCAGGAAAACAAATTTGATCTGTCACCAAAGCAGAGAGTGAAGTCAAGTGGCTCACAGAGGTCTCCAGCCA